GTGGATTGAGGTGGGGGGGGGGGGGAGAGAGATAAGCATAAAACATAACTTCCCTTTTCCTTTTCTCCTTCTGGAAAAACAAACCAATAAAATCGGAGGTTTGGTTGTCTTGTTCAGTGGAAGTCTTGCTTGGGAACAGAGAAATGAAGGGTTTTTCAGGGGGAAAGGGGAAAGCCCAGCATCGGATTAGGCTTGGTCCCTTCTGATCCAACGGTGTGTTGGCCGTGAACCGAAGGTCCCTGGAGATCTGGGCCGAGTACAGAGACTTGGCTGGATCTACCAGCCAGGGAAGTCACCTTGCAGTGAAGAAATCCAGAGGTTGCATTAAATCAATTCAGATTTACAGCCAGCGGCAGCTGCGTTTAAAGCTGAGAAGCTTTTTTCATGAGCAAATGATGGTTCAAATAAGTAAATAAGTAAATATCGTATTTTTCGGAGTATAAGACACACTTTTCCCCCTCAAAAAAGAGGCTGAAAATCTGGGTGTGTCTTATACACTGAATACAGCATTTTTGGCCTCCTGGAAACCCACCCCTTCCCCAAAATGGCCATGCATAGTCTTTAGGAGCCTTGCGGAGTGCTCCTGGAGAGTGTGGAGGACAGAAATTAGTGAAAAATGGGCTGTTTCTTGCTCAATTTTGCCCCCTCCCCACCCGCAGGAGGATTCTACAAGCCTCCTTAAAAAATAGGCCTATTTCCACAACAAACAGCCATTTTTGAGAGGTCTGCAGAGTGCAAAAAATATTTTTTTTAATTTGACTCTTCAAAATCTTGGTGCATCTTATACTCTGAAAAATACAGTAAATAAAAAAGACGGACTCTTGACAAGCGGGACTCAGGTTTGAGTTCACTCCTAGCCACAGAAATGGCCTAGGAGGCCTTGGGGCCACTTTCTCAACGTAGACCACCTCACAGGTGGAGCTTCCAAGGAAGGGTCCCCGTTCCTTCTGCTCTCAGATCCAGTGTGCTTTTCTTCTCCAAGCCACCAGCCATCCTGGGCTTCTCCCTCACTTCCTGACACGTTACATGGGGTGACCACCATTGCTGACGTCCCTTTCCTTTCTTTTCTCCTCCTGCAGCCTTGGTTGGATCCATCGGCATGGGGATGGTCTTCTTTTGCTCTCCCATCGTCAGCATCTTCACCGATCGGATCGGATGCCGGACCACTGCTGCCTCGGGAGCCGCCATAGCTTTCATTGGCCTCCTCTCCAGTTCCTTCACCAAGTAAGGTTCTGAAATGGAGGGTGGAAGGGCCAAAAGGCTCACCAGCAAAGATCTGAAGGGTTCTTCCAATCTCTGAACCCTCCAACCAAAGCAAGCCCCATCTCCCCCAAGGGTCCTTCAGGCATAGGACACAAACCTTAGACATCTCCCAGACTTGGTGCTCATGAAGGACACCATTATCAATAAGCTGATGAGCTCTATAAAATGTCAGCACGATGTCCTGACTAAACAACAACACCACGGGATTTCTGAAAGGGGACATTCTCCACACCAGGACCACTTCAGCTCCAAAACCATGGCTCCCCCCCCATTTCCTCCTTCCTATTATTTCTGCCCTTCCTTCCTTTCTTCCTTTCTTCCTTCCCTCTCTCCCTCCCTCCCTGTCCTTCTCATTTCCTTTATACTTCCTCCCTACTCCCCCTCTTTCTTCTACATTCCCTGTCCTCATTTTCTTTATCCATCCATCCTTCCCTGCCTTCCCATTTCTAATATCCTCCTTCCTTCTTTCCTTCTTTCCCTGTCTTTCCCATTTCCTTTATGCTTCCTCCCTCCCTTCCCCTCTTTCTTCCTACATTCTCTTCATTTTCCTTATCCTTCCTTCTTTCCTTCCTTCTTTCCTTCCTCTCTCCCTTTATTTCTTCATTTATTTATTTTTCAGTGGCTCCTGCCCTGCCATTTAAGATGCATCATCTTCCTCCCCCGTCATAAGCTTCCCTTCTTGCTCCTGCCATACCACTAAAAGGTCAGGTGCACCCTCTGGCCTCCAACTGGCCTGCTCTGGCTGGGAATGGGGATCAGGTGACCGTGGCGGGCCTAGAAATCCCCAGGAGGTTCCCTTGGCTGCCTTTTCCTGATATCAGCCCCCTGAGGCCAACCAGGTCAAGAAACAGGCAACAGCAAGGATTCCTGGAAGGCTCTTCTCGTTGCAGGGTAGAATAACAGAACCCTGCATAGTTTCTCTCAGCCACCTCTGAGTCCTTCCTTTGCGCCTCATGCCTTCCCAGCACCAGGCCTACGTTCCTTCACAAGTGGTCATCTGCATTTTTTAGCCCAGCTAAGGGAGTCCTAGATGGCAGAAGCTCCAGATCCAGATGTCTGCCTGGCCAAGGCACAGAAAGCCTTTTTTATGTCTGGCTAGAAATCTTTATTACTTGGAAAGGATGTTTGTTGATTTGAAAACTGGGGAGATAATTGGACTACCAGCAAATTTGGCTCACACCAACTTATTCTTTTTTGAATTGCTTGGCTCTCTCTGGTTTATTGCATTCACTGGGCTGTCCAAATGTTTTCATCCAGATTGTTTAGCTTTTAAAAGAAATGCTATTCCAAATTGACACCATTAATAAAATGCTTTCTTTTTAAAGAAAGGAGATTTGTGTTTTCTTATAAGTTGAAATGAAGACAAATTATCTTTGTTGACTTGATTTGGCTGTGTGCTCTAAATATCAGGATATTAAGCAAAGTTTTTTTGGGAGAAGAATACATTTATCTCATGGCTCTGGTTAAAACATTGGTTTCCTCTCCTGTTCATTCTTATCCCCTTGAAACATCTCTAGCTTTGTCCTTGGCTGTTCTTTGGACTTTTCACAACTTCCCTCAAGCACAGTTAAAATTATTCAGACTTAAAATAAATTATAGCCTAGTTACTCAACTGAAGAATTTCCTGGAAAAATATGAAAATAAATGTTAATAATCTTGTGATTCTGTTTTTAAAATGGTGTAATGTTTGTGCAATCCTCCCTAATTGGGCTGATTTTTAGAGCCAACAACTCAGTTCAAATTATTTGCAGTTGAGGGATTGTGTAAACATAGCAGTGGTTTGGTATTAATTTCAGATTCTATTTAAAACTCCTGCACCACGGGCTTGTTCAATGGTGGCAGTAGTTGTCCCATCAAATTCGGTGAGGTTTAAGGCAGGCAGTTGGCATAAAAAAAGCAGAGAGAGCTTCTCCAGAAGAGACTCAAAAGCATGGAGAGATCCTGACAAGTTTCTGACTTCAAGAATTACACACTCGGTGGTTTTCCTTTGGCGGGTTTTGAAAATCTTCTTTCCAAACCTGACAACCTCCTCGTCAGTAAGCAAGGACTACGTGTAATTCCTTTCTCTGCTGAACTTCTTATAAAAAAGAACATTACATCGGTTTTCCACCATACCCTCAACCAACCCAGGTTAACAGGCCACAGTAGCTCTATTCATGTGAGAAGATGTGTAAATGATATTGCGAGATAACCTGATATCATGTTCACACAACATAGTAAGACAAGAGGGTATTTTTTACAGAGATCCAACTACAAATCACTCTATGCATCTGAATGAAATTATACTTTTTCCTCTTTTAAAAAAAACATTTTTATTATTTACATATTATATTGAACACAGTGTGATTGTCCTGGCGTTTCATCCCCCATAGAATCCAAAGTGAAAGACAAATAACCTATATACTACTTATACAGTGCTAGGCTTGTACAATTATTTTTGACCAACGAATTCATTCTAATGCATATATAATATCTCATTCCAGGTCTACTTAGCCTGATTTTTTCATGTTCCAACTCTAACCTCGTGCTTTAGCCAATGATAAAATCTGTTCTATGTGTCATAATATTCTGTCTCTCCTTTGTTTTTTAATTCTCTTGTTAGTCATTTCTGTGCATATTCATATCTTCTTTATTATCTCCTTTTCTGAAGGGGTGTTTTCACTTTTCCATTGCTGTGCATATACCATTCTTGCTGCTGTCAGGATGTGAAGTATTAGGTATATTTGACCCTTTGCTATAGCCTTCTGTTATAATACCCAATAGAAATAATTCTGGCTTAAATTCTATACATTGTCCAACCATTTTTTCTAGCCACATCTGAATTTTCCTTGTTTTTTTACAAGTCCACCACATGTGATAGTATGTGCCTGGTGATTGTTTACATTTCCAACATTTTTGGAATGTGTTGTTAAAATTTTAGGCAATCTTGCTGAGGGAAGATGCCACCTGTAGAACATTTTATAAAAATTCTCTTTATATGATGTGGCCAATGTCAATTTCCGATTTCTTTCCTGCCAATTATCCAAATTAATGTTATATCCAAAGTTTTTAGATCATATGACCATTGTCTCCTTAATTTATTCTTCTTCCATTTTATAGTCTAGTAAATATTTATATGATGCCCTTATCAATTTATCATCGGTCCCCACTAATAATTTATCTAATTTCATTAATTTTCTATAGATACCCCATACTTTCTCATCCTTCACATAACATGATTGCATTTGCAGGTATGACCATCACTCCAATTCTACCTCTTGTTCTTTTGATTCTAATCTGGTTTTCAATTCACCCTTCTCATTTAATATATCCTTATATGAAACATTTATTTCCATATTTATAAGGTTTGGGTGTATCAATGCTTCTAAGCATCAGTGCTTCTAAGCATCAATGCTTCTAAGCATCGGACTAGTATTTTTATATGATTTTGTTGTGTGAGTTTATTCCACACTGCTAATAATGCATTTCTTATGTAATGCCTTTGAAAGTATGGATGTGCCGTGCTTCTCCCATACCAAAGAAATGCCTGCCACCCTAGTTGCATATGCTGACCCTCCAGTAGTAATAATCTCCTATTCCGTAAAGTTATCCACTCTTTTACCCATGTGAGTACCGCATCTTGATGGTACAATTCCCAGTCAGTTAGACGAACCCCCCCTTTCCCTTTTGATTCTTGCAATAATTTCAATTTAATTCTCAGTTTTTTTCCTTGCCATATAAACTTCAACATTATTTTGTTCAAGTCCTGAAAATATTTTTTCTCTAATTTTATGGCTATATTTTGAAATAAAAAGAGTATCCGATAGAATGCTCATTTTTATTGCAGCTATTCTGCCCATTAAAGAAAGTTGCAGATTTTTCCATCTCTCCATGTCCAATTTAATTTGATTTGTTAGTTTTGTGTAGGTGTCCTCTTTAATTGTTATACACCTTGCTGTTAAATAAATCCATAGATATTTTACTTTTTCACTATCTGGATGTTCATTCTCTTTATTAGTTCATCCTCCTGTTTATTTGTCATATTTTTGACTATCATTTTGGGTTTTTTTCTTGTTTATTTTTAGTCCGTCTACTTCCCAGTATTCCTCCAGTTTCTATATAAGTCTCAGGCCTGCTTTTAGTGGTTCCTCTAAAATAAAAATGAGATTGTCTGCAAATGCTTGTAATTTATACTTTTCTCTTTTAATTTCCAGTCCTTTGATTTGCTTGTGGAGATAATGGGTAGCCTTGCCTTGTGTCTTTTTGGATTGTGAAATTTTTAGTCACCTTGCCATTCACAATCACTTTAACTTCCTGCTTAGTGTATATTGCCTTGAACATATTTATAGATTTATCGCCAAAGTCCATGTGCCTTAATTGTTGAAGCATAAATTTCCAATACTTTTTCCTCTCACCTTCTCACTGTCCATGGTTCTCAGGGTTGATGTTATTAATCAAAGTGGTTTAAATCACAAAGCATTTAAAATTGACAGATATATCTCCTAGCCTTGGGAACTACTGCTATTTATTTACATTTGTATATTTTACAAAAAACAGGTGAAATCGTGCATCAAGAAAACAGAGACTTTAAAAAGCATTTTAAAAGCACAAAAGAGAAAACAGCCAAAATCAAAAGAGCCAGTTTGGTGTAGTGATAAAAGGGCTGGCTTAGCAACTAGGAGACTCTGAGTTCAAGTCCCACTTTAGGCACAAAAGCCAGATGGGTGACTTTGGGCCAGTCACTTTCTCTCAGCCCAACCCGCCTCATACTTTGTGAGAAAAACATAGCAGGAGTATTAGGTTTGTTTGCTACCTTGAGATACTTATAAAGTAATAAAGGTGGGAATTAAAAACTTCTAATAAATAAACAAACAATACCCTTTTCTATCATGGTCCCATCTTTTTCCGCATGTCTAATCACCACCCAATAAGGGATCTCTTCTTCTACCTGCAGAGTAGAGTAGAGTAGAGTAGAGTAACGCAGTTGGATGATGACAGGATAATGGTCCTACAATTACACATGTCCACTTGGACACTTCCTACAAGATGAAGAGATGGACAATTGGAGCAACATAGCAAAAGACCAAATAAAATAAAATAACATAATAATAACAGAGCTGGAAGGTATCTTGGAAGTCTTCCAGTCCAACCTGCTGCTTAAGCAGGAAACCCTGTACCATTCCAGAAAAATGGCTGTCCAGTCTCTTCTTAAAAACCTCCAGTGATGAAGCACACACAACTTCTGAGGGAAGCCATTCCACCGGTTAATTGTTCTGTCAGGAAATTTCTCTGTATTTCTAGCTTGGATCTCTCCTTGTTTATTTTCCATCCATTACTTTTTATCCTGCCTTCAGGTGCTCTGGAGAATACACTGACTCCCCCTTCTCTGTGGCAGCTCCTCAAGTATTGGGACTCTGCCAACATGTCTCTCCCCCCCCTCAAACCCCCATTAGACTAGACATTCCCAGTTATTGTTTCATATATTTTAACTTCCAGTCCTCAAATCATCTTTGTTGCACTCTTTCTAGAGTCTTCTGTTAAGTCTTCTGTTGCTCCAATTTTGCATTCTAAATGATAAAACACTGTGGGATTTCTTACCAAACCCTATTGTGGCCCTCTCTTTTCTACAGGTCCCTGGAGGTCCGCTACTTCACCTATGGAATCCTCTTTGGTTGTGGCAGCTCCTTCGCCTTCCACCCATCCCTGGTCATTCTGGGCCACTACTTCAAGCGACGCCTCGGTCTGGCCAACGGACTGGTGACGACCGGCAGCTGCCTTTTCTCCATGGGTCTCCCATTCCTCCTGAATATTGTGGGGAAGGCCCTTGGCCTCCCTCGCACCTTCCAGATGCTGAGCGCCTTCCTGTTGGTCCAGATCTTCTTGTCGCTGACCTTCCGCCCAATGTTGCCCTCGGTCTCAAGTCCTCGAGATAGGGAGATCAAACTAGACACCCGGAGCTGGAGGCAGCAATGCATGTCACAGATGCGGAAGTATTTCAACTTGCGAGTCTTCCAAAGAAAGACGTACCGAGTTTGGGCCTTTGGCATAGCTACTGCCATCCTGGGATACTTTGTCCCTTACATGCATCTGGTGAGATGGAGAGGGGAAGGGAGGTGGGCTTGCTCCTCGTCCTATGGGAGAGAAGGGGACAGAAGGGAGAGCGGACTAAGAATTCAGAGAGGGTCCCAAAGGGATGGGGATGGTCTTTTAAGGGAGCAGCACCACAGGTGTGCTCTCTGTGAGAGCAAACTGTCCCTTCTTCTGCAGCCGCTCCCAGGGCTGACAGCCTTCAACTGAGGAAGTCCAGGTGGCCATTGTGAAAAGTCAGAGTTAGGAAAGTGTGGCCCAGCACTCTCTGCCCTTACGGACTAATAGACATCCACTTCAAATGATCTAAGCCTTGTCTGAAGTTGTCTTCCAATATTTACAGCTAGTCCTCAAACTCCCAACACTTTAGTTAGTGACTGTTCAAAGTTGCAATGGCACTGAAAAAAGTGACTTATGACCATTTTCACACTTATGACCGTTGCAGCATCCTCATGGTCACCTGATCACAATGCAGATGCTTGGTAACTGATTCACATTTATGACGGTTGTAGAGTCCCGGGGTCACGTGAACCCTTTTTGCGACCTTCTGACAAGCAAAGTCAATGGGGAAGCCAGATTCACTTAACAACTGTGTCAGTAACTTAACAATTACAGTGATTCACTTAACAACTGTGGCAAGAAAGGTTGTAAAGTGGGACAAAATTCACAACCAATGTCGCACTTAGCAGCAGACATGTTGGGTTCAATTGTGGTCATAAGTCGAGGACTACCTGTACTTATTCATTCAGTTTATATGACTGCCCGTCTTCAATTCAATCCTTAAAAGTGAGATAAAAGCAACAAAACAAAAATCAAAAATAGCATTTATAGCAGCTGAGAAAAATCACCCAACGGTTAATTTAGCCATGATATTGTAGACTTATCTACACATCCAAAGGGGGTCTTCAGAGCCTTACAAAAGACCAAAAGGGGCACAGACAACCTGGCATTTGGATGAAAGGACCATGTTCCAGAAGGCCCACATCTATTCCTGAGCCCTACCAAATAACAACAGTCATCCCCCATGCTGGCTGGGGAATTCTGGGAGTTGAAGTCCATATGTCTTAAAGTTGCAAAGCTGAGGAAACACTGCCTTAGACTTTTATCCATTGCCCCCTCAACTACCCCCATGGAAATCTGAGCTCGGTTTGGAAGCCTTTAAGGCAGGACTCTCCAACCTCCAAGCCAGCTTTTCAGGCTGAGGAATTCTGGGAGTTAAAGTCCACAAGTCTTAAAGTTGCCAAGGTTGGAGACGCCTGCTTTAAGGAATACAAAACAGGCCTAAAATTCATTCCACTCCAAAATATACAAAAGGGAGATCACAAATCATGGTTATCATCCCCTTTTTGTGCATGTCCAACTTTTTTGTGAAATCACACAGAACCAGAACAATGTGTAAATGTCTCTTTTTATGTAGATGCACACTGGATCTACCAATTTGGAACCAGAAACTCTGAAGCTAGTTAGAAGAAATGCAAGACTAATGCCTCTTTTCCACTTTTCCAGGTGAAGTTCGTAGAAGAGCAATTCAAAGAAAAGGAAAGGTCCTGGATTGTGCTTGTTTGCATAGGAGCAACGTCAGGAATTGGACGGCTGGCCTCCGGACCCATCGGTGATCTCATCCCTGGATTAAAGAAAATATATTTGCAGGTAGGAGATAAGTGCTTATTTCAAATTCCCATTTATTGATTACTTTGCACTTCCTCCAGATTTTTTTCATCTATGTGTGAGACATTCTCTACCGTCTACAGGTGTTGTTGGGGAGAAATGACTTAAGATGAGGGGGCTGGAGGGAAAACATGAAGAACAGTTGAAGGAATTGGATATGCTTAGTCTAATGAAAGGAAAGACTAGGGGAGACATGATAGCAGTCTTCCAATATTTGAGGGGCGGCACAAAGAAGAGGGAGTCAAACTATTCTCCAGGGCACCCGAGTGTAGAACAAGAAGCAATGGGTGGAAACTTATCAAGGAGAGAAGCAACCTAGAACTAAGAAGAAATTTCCTGACAGAACAAATAATCAGTGGATCAACTTGCTTCCAGAAGTTGTGAATGCCCCAACACTGAAAGTCTTTAAAAAGATGTTGGATAGCCATTTGTCTGAAATGGTATAGGGTTCCCTGCCTAGGCACGGGGTTGGACTAGAAGACCTCCAAGGTCCCTTCCAACTCTGCTATTGTATTGTATTGAGATTGGATAGCCATTTGTCTGAAATATTTGAGCAAAGGGTTGAACTAGAAGACCTCCAAATTTCTTTCCAAGTCTGTTATTCTGTTTAAGAAGATTCCATTTTTCATGGAGCAGAACTTTGTCAATGCAGTATTTTTTAAGTTCTGCTTTAAGTGCCATGGTCCAAAGATGCTTCGATGCCCACAGAAAAATAGAGCATCTCTGCAAGACTTCAATCCAGTTGCCTCTTTGCAGTTAAACAAAATCTGCAGATGACACTGGCTGGGGAATTCTGCGAGTGGAAATCCAAATGTCTTAAAGGTTGACGTTTGGATTTCCATTTGAAGGTTGAAAAACGTTTGAAGATTGAAAAACACTGCTATAGAGTATTGCTTTCAGAAACTGTAGTAACACTGTGGTTAGAACGCAGTATTGCAGGCTAAGTCTTCCCACTGTCAGGAGTTTGATCCTGACCGGCTCAAGGTTGACTCCACCTTCCATCCTTCGGAGGTCAATAAAATGAGGACAGAGATTGTTGGGGGGGGGGCAATATGCTGACATTTGTAAACCGCTCAGAGGGCTATAAAGCACTATGAAGCAGTATATAAGTGTAAGTGCTATTGCTGTTGCTATTGCTTTCTCCTGTATATTTTAGTCTGACGTGCGGAAGTTGTGTAGCCAAGAAGGTTTTCTGATGAAATACAGAGCCATACTTATGAGCATGTCCAATTATTTTTTAAATTTAAAAGATCCATTTTTAAAAAGGCCGAAAATGTAAGCTCACTCTGTTCTGGAATCCTACAGAGCACAAATTTGCTTCATTGAAGGTCAAAGTAGACACAGCTTAAATTTTCTCTTAAGTGTCCCTTTCATCTCTTATGACTTGATTTATCTACTTTTATTAAATATGTTTTTGCAAGATAAAAACAATATTTAAAGGAGAAAGAAAGGAAAAGGGGTAGTGAATAAGTAGTAAAGAAATAAAAGAAAAAATACAGAAAAAGAAAAAAAAGAAAAAATGCAATTAATTGTAATATTTGTATTTCTTTTTCCTTTTTTGTGTATTGAGATGTATATGTACTAAGTCTGTATTATTTGTATTTAAAATAAAAAGGGGGGAAAAAGAAAAAAAAGAAAAAATGCAAGATGTTAAGAAGTGGCTTCTGATTGCATTTGTATGTTTTCTTCTCTCTCTAAGGTTCTTATGCCCTGATTTCTGTGGCGACTTAGCACATGCTTTCTTTTAAAGTTTGAGCAAACAACTGTCACCATAGTGTTTAGGTTATAGAGCAGGGTTTCTCAACCTTACCCATGTTAAGTCATGTGGACTTCAACTCCCAGAATTCCCCAGCCATTCCTCGTTAGGGTATTCTACAAAGTCTACACATCTTTAAATGTGTAGGTTAAGGTTGGAAAACAGAGTCAGAACTTTATAGTTACAGAACTCAAAGGAACAGAAACAAAATAAATACTCTTTTGGAAATATTAATGTGCCAGAAGAGAATATTAACATTATCGTCTTGCTAAAATGGCCAGCCTCCAGGAAACCAAAGATATGCCTTGGATTTCCTTCACTTTCCTTTCTCCTCTCCCTTTCCTGAATCTAGTTTTTAAAAATTATTTTAGAATTCTTTTGCAATTTCGCTTGAAGAAGGACCTGTCCAGTTGGTGAATCCAGAAAATAGAACTTCTGGGACACTATTTTACTAAGAGTATAAAACTTTAATGAATAAACCACATTAGCACACAAGAAGCAAAACCAGCTCTGGATTTCTTGCACAAAAGCAAGCATAGTTCACTCCCCCTCTTCCCATGGGCCACCCATAGTCCATTACGTCCACCAATAACTTCTGTTCATTTTGTTATGGGAAGCAGCTGGCCACACTGGGACATCTGCTCGGTGTGTCCCTGGGATGCTGGCAATGTCCTAGGTGCTGATGGATGCTTGAATAGCTTTCTGCCTCTTTTATACTCCATCCACTCTCCCTCCCTCTTATTGTCAAGCTGTGACGAAGGAAAAATGTAGGTGAAAGTGCGAATCAATCTTGACAAGATCCTGTGAAAGTCTTAGACTTCAACTAAAAGTTTTATTAAAAATGTGTAGTGAGGCAAAAGTGCAACTATACATTTGTCATAGTCACACATGTTCATTCAGAGTGGTAAGGTAGCCAGCCAATAAATGTTATAAATAAATAAATAATAAAATATGTGCATAAGCATATACAATCTACTTGGAATCGCCATATTACCCAATATTGTGGTAATATTACTTTGGTAGCCTGTTTTCTCACTGGCATAGAAAGAGAGAAAAGATTGACAGTTGGATTGTCCAATAGGCTAGTCTTCATATCAATCAGTCAGAGTAGAAATGGCTCATTTATTATTCATTCAAAAAGCAATGCAGGGATTGAGATGCTGGGCCTAGCCTACTGTCATGATAGACCTCTTTGGATGACTATGTACTCAACCCACCTCATGAGACTCTTGCAGAGGTAAAATTAGAGAGATGTTCCCTTCATCTACGTCTTCTTGAACTCTCAAAGAAAAGGAAGATAGGAAGGCAATAAAAGCAGCTGTGATGACCAGGCATGGTGGCCAGTGGTGGGGTTCAATTTTTTTTACTACTGGTTCTGTGGCCGTGGTTTTGTAGGCGTGGTAGGGAAAGGATACTGCAAAGTCCTCATTCCCTCCCCACTAACCTGCTTTCCAGCTCCGTTCTCCTGTTCAGGGTAACAAAAGAAGATCCGCTGGGAGGCAGCGGGACAGGGCCAGCCTATTTGCCGGTTCTCCAAACTACTCAAAATTTCTGCTACCGGTTCTCCAGAACCTTTCAGAACTGGCTGAATACCACCTCTGATTTGATCCCACAATATTTCTACAGGCCCAGCAGAAATGGTCTTATTCCAAGCCATCTTTTATTCAGATAGTTGAGGACTTGTACAGCCTCAACTCCCAAAGTCAGATCTGAGTTTGGGATGTTCTGCAGCCTATCCATAGTGGGAGTTTTTCCTGTTGGCTGGAAGAAGCAGCTTATTTTATGTAATTCATTTTAAAAAACAGTAGAAATAAGCCATTTGTGAACATTATAAAAGTCTGAAGGGAAAAATTAGCCTTCCAAAACTCCAGCCTTGGCCTAGAATTCACCTTCCGTTCATTGCCAAGGAGAATATGTTGTAAAGTTGGAAGCATGACAGAAATTTGAGATGATCTAAATAAAGAAAAAGATATTTAATGGATGGAAACAACTCTTTAAAAATCCCTATAATGGGATTAGCACACAACACAAGCACTTTGCTAAGAGCAAGGGGATGGCAGAAGAGTTGCTGTCACCTTCCAACTTTCTCCTCTTGATTGCTTCCAAAAACTTCACCTTCTTTGAAACTTAGTACCTTATCTGTGCATCTCAGATATATAGAGCACATTGTCTTTGAAGGCCTTGGGGCCTCAGACATGAAACCAAAGTACTCCAGTTGTCAAATCTTAAGCGCCCTGGCTAATTTGCTACCAAGGAGACGACCTTTGGGAAAACCAGAAGAGAAAATGAGACATGGGAAGGATGTTCAGGAGTTTAGGAATGAAATAGCTAACCAAACCAAAGTGGAAGACAATATTTATATTCTTACAAAGATGTTTAATCATCTTGGCATAGCCACACACATCTAAGACTCAAAGTGAGTTTTCAACCTATTGGTTGCCCAGCCAACTTTCATGGAGAATTGAGTATCCATGAAAAGATTTGGGGAATCCTGCCTCCCCCCCCACCAGATTAGAAAGTCTGGAAAGTGGACTAGGCTCTCTAAACATAATCTGTGGATATAGCCGAAGCCGTTTGTCCTCCTTAACCAGAGATGGAGAAGACATTTTATTTGTTTGTTTAATCAAAGATGGTAAGATTTCTGCTACAACCTGAAGTAGCATTTGCAGAATGTCAGCGTTCAGTTTAAAAATGAATATAGATGAAATCGTGAAATTTCAGTGATTTCAGGCGAAGATGTCAAAATCTGGTGAGATGGCAGGTGAGAGTACCAGAAACCTACACGTTCTCAAGCAAGAATGACTAGAATGTTGCATTTTCACATGAAATCTCAGGGATGAGATGTCAGAAATCTTGAGTGAGTTTGAATACTTGCATGAGGGAAGGAGGGAGGGAGGGAAAGAGAGAGAAAGAGAGAAGTCACTTCCCGTCATTACTCATAAAGTGAGCCACTCACTGATGCCCTCAGCCCCTTGCTTAGGGAATTCCTCCACATTTGTCTTGGTTGTCTAAACAGCTTCATTGTTTTGACTCCTCAGGTTGCATCCTTCATCATCTTGGGCATCATGTGCATGATGTTGCTACAGTGCCAAGCATTTTGGGGGGTGATTGTCGTCTGCCTCTTCCTTGGACTCTGTGATGGACTCTTCATCACCATTATGGCCCCCATTGCCTTTGAGCTGGTTGGGCCCATGGAGGCTTCTCAAGCCATTGGCTATCTCCTGGGACTCATGGCCATCCCCATGTCAGCTGGCCCACCAATTGCAGGTGAGAGAATTTTGTAGCTTGATGATTTGGGCAGGAAGATGTTTCCAATATGTCTAAAAAGTCCTTATCCAAGCAAGATATAACGAGTTGGCAGAGAAGGGACAATGTCATAGTTGGCTCTCATCTTTAATCCACAACCTGTAGATTCTTTGAAGGCCAGCCATCTCCCAAGTCAGTAAAATGAGGAACCAGATTGTGAGGGGCAGGAGGCTGACTCTGTAAATCACTTAAAGAGGGCTGTCAAGCACTGTGAAGTGGTATATAAGTCTAACTGCTATTGCTATTGCTATTGCTATTGCTATCACCACGCAAACCAGTTCTCAGCATACTGTGATTTCAGATGTTAATCCTAGACAAATTTTCTTGGTGACAGCTTGGTGTGATAGCCAGATTGAGACAGTATAACAAAATACTTTCTTCTCAATCGCTTCCTCCACATATGTCAGGTTCTCTGGGATTTTTCCATACTTAAGGAAGTTGCTGAGATGCTGTGAGCTAATAGACCCATTTCACAGGTTTTTAGTTGCAAGAAGAAGCAGGAAATGCAGTCTGGGTGCTCCTTTTCACTTTGAAGTAGCTGTATTTTTTGGGGGGGGGAATGGGTTGGAGAGGTCGGAAGAAAACTTAATTTGACTGCATTTTCATTTGTCAAAATTAGTTGTCACCAAAGCTTTCCTTCTCCAGAAGATACCAGAATATAAACTGACAGCAAACCCCACTCCTTACTAGCATTAATGATGTTACCTAGTCAGGGTAATGAAACGCCTGCAAGAAAACAAGCAAGCGAGCATCAAGGACCCCTCAATTCCTAGTAATTTATAATTGTTAGCAAAACATCTAAAAGTGAGAGCTTGGAATGCATCACCCCACCAGCCAACAGAAGTAGTTGTAAACTAATTATTCACCTCTCAGATTAATACTAACCTCCATCAAATTCTTTGTGCTTCAACTTATATAAGAAAACCCTCTATAACCCTGTAGTGAGGTTCGTAAGTGGTAATAAGTAATGTTGGCCACTGTGTAAACGCTGGCTGGATTTTGAAGTGTTTGAAATATACAAAAAAATATTGAAATATTTTGTGTGTGTGTGTGTGTGTATGTATGTATGTATGTATGTATGTATGTGTGTGTGTGTGTATATATATATAACATATATATATATGTTATATTTATGCTGATAAATAAATAAA